ACCAAATGATCGCTACATCTCTCAAATAGTTGGCTGCATATATAATTTCTGCAGTGGTATTTATTTCAGATAGTTAGAGGTATTGTTGCATGTTGAAGAGCCATTGACATATATCTTCTTATCTTAAAGTCCCATAGTATATACTAGGCTTACTCAATTTTGGCCTAATAGATGTCAATTCTCTTATCCTCAAGGCTTCTATTTGTCCTTACAAAATAGCTATCTAGCGTAAGAGATGTTGTATTTGAGCTTCCATCTCAGATTACTCTATCATATCTTCCATATTATAATTTTTTTGCTAGACTCTACTATTGCAATGCCTTCTTACTTCCTAATTGACTTTTTAAGACTAGCTTGTAGTAGCCTCAACACAATATCTAGTATGACCATAACAATTAACCTTGGACTAGATGATGACTACAATACACTACCAAAAAAAATAGCCTAATATCCGCTTCGATACCAATGAAATAGGACCAATCAATTTCTAGTGTGCAAGACTCTTTTAATCTATAGCAACATAAAACTTTATCACAAGGTAAGAAAAATTAGGCTAGAATAAAATTAGACAAAACTAAATAGAATGGAATGTAGAAGACAAAACTAAGCAATTAGAATTAGAATTGAACAAAATAAAATAGAAAGATACAAAGTCCAATTATATTAAAAAAAAGGGTCAAAAACCATATCCGACAAGATGCCCTAAAAAGCCGTGGATAGTCCTATTTATACTTTATTCTACTATCCTAGACTTTCTAGAATATTCTTAGATGATGAATTCCACTTAAAGAACTACCTTAAACTCCTTTTAGAAGATTCTATGGTAGACTCTACCTAAATAACCATCCTAAACTCTTTCTAAAATGTTCCACAATGGTACCTACTTGATCTACTAATCTAACTCCAAGAAACTTCGATAGTTTTAACTATCTATCCCTATGTATCAATAATACAAATATCTTATCTATACCTTGTTATAGCTTTTTTTTTCTTTAATAAATAAGAATATTTCTTTTCAAACTTTCTTAATAATTTTTTTGTTAGAAGATCCTTTTTATGTCTTTCAATCCATTCAAAACATGACTTCTTTGTAATCTAATGACTATCTTTTAAGAAAAATTCATCCTTTAATACCTGTGAAAATTTCTCTCTTGAACCTCCAAAATATCTTATAATAGACTTTACTTGATTTTTTATCTATGATATAGTAGCTTATTCAAATAATTAAACCATCTCTTTTTTTTGAAATATGCTTTAATTCTATTTCTTTTCTATAAAATCTTTAATATTTTGTAATATCCTTCCTTTTGAATTGATCAATCTTATCCACAACTCCTTATAATGCTTTGTTTGCTATACCCTCTTTATAATTTTTAATATATTGTTGTTACATAAATAAAGCAAAAGCCTCAAACGTGCTTGCAAAGTTGGGATCAAAATACATATCTTGTCCTTTATTTGTAACTCCACTTCTAACTTGATTTGAAGTACTATCAAAAGCCTTACTTCCATTTTTTTGCTTTTTTATTTTTTTTATAATTCAAATAAATTAAAAACAATTCCAAACACCTTCTATCTTAAGATTTTTATGTCAAATTTATCAATTATGTTGTATTACGTATATTCTTATTTTAAAATGTATGAAGCATCTAACTATGGAAGATAAATAACAATGCAGCAACAATTCAATTAAGTCTAATAGAATCTTAAATAAACTTCAAGTAATCCCTAATAATCCAATCAAACTTTAAATTATCAAAATAAATATAAAAAAAAGTCATAAAAGAAATAAAAAGAATCCTAAAAAAATAATAAAAATAAAAAAATTAATGTAACCTTAATTAAAATCCTAACTAAATTTTAATCAAATTCTAAATCAAATCCTATTGAAATCTTAATCAAATCCTAAATCCTAAATAAATTCTACATAAGTTCCAAACCAAATCTTAAAAAAATTCTAATTCTAATCAAATCTTAGACCAAATCCTAAACCAAATTCTAATCAAATCCTAGATTTTAAATATACTCTTAATAAATCCTATAGCAAAATGGAACTTCAACAACTAATGATCAAACCATTGATATCAATTCAAAATTTTGCACACTTCTTAATGTCTTTGTAAGAAACAACCACAAGAAAGATAAAATCAATTGCACTTACCAATTGAGAGAAATGCTAAATAATTCAATTAGATATTGGGCAGCCTCCTACTCTAACCTGAATACTCAACTTCTAGTGCAAATATCTCCTTCTTGAACTAGTGAATTATTTTCAAATTTCATCTAAATATTAAAAATCAAATCTATTTTCTATATAAAATAATTTCACTTCAATCTAATTGATAAATTGCTGAAGATCTTAAGAACACTCACTAACCTTCAAACTCCAATTTCTAAGACCTCAATCCACAAAAACCTTCATTCACTTCAATCTAATTGTTTGATTGGCGTCAAAATTTGTATACACATTTACAACTATCACACCAATACACTATCTAAATTTCACTTATACATATACTACAAAACTTAAGAAACCCTCAAATTTGTAAAAATATTTTTATTTTTTAAATCTTAATTCTATCAAAAACATAACTAACTTTGAAAATTTTTCAAAATCTCAATATTAATTCAAATGACATAAAAATAATACCTATTTTATTTTATTTTATTTTTTTTTTTTCAAGTCAACTCTCAAATTCTATTCTCTAAACTATCAAAAAAACCTTAGAGTCATTGTAGGTGCATAGCTTTATGTCTTAGTATCTGATTTTAACCCAGGTTGACAACTGGACTTCTCTAGGTATCAATTCTTAGCTTCTTGAGGTAAATTTTGCTAAAATCTCTTCTTAACTCCCTCCTATACATGCTTATATCATTTAATTTTCAATCTACTTTATTTTGCCTTATTTATAGTCCTACAAAGTAAGTAGAAGGCTATTTTACAAAAAGGTAGTATTAGCACTTTTTTGTTTTACTATCTTTTGACTATTATCTATATTTTTAAGATAATTTGCTATAATATTTTAAAATAAGATCATTTATAATATAATATTTTTTTTTATCTTTCATTTATTAACTATATCACATCATAACAATAAAAAAACTATCAATGGATGAAAAATTATTAACCACATTAAACTACATACATTCAACGAGATTTGGCACCTGATGCCATATCACATGACAATGCCATGGGCCCAATGAGCATGAATAACTTGACTTTTATCATTTTTCAAAAAAATTTCTAATAATTGCATACTTGGATGCCATTTCACTTAACATACATTCATTAGACTAACCTATATTGCTTACATAAGAAAATATTTTAATTTATATTTACATTCACTTAAATTAATATGGAATATTTTTTAAAAATAATAATAATATAAAAAGTTTATCAAAGCAAAAAATATATTATAATTGTGAAAAATAAGCACTTTAATTTAGATTTTAGAAAAAAAAAAATAATTAAAAAATTATACTTAATATGACATTTATAATATTTATTTTTTTGTACTTATATATATATATATATATATATATATATATTTATATTATATAGATGCTTTTAATTTTTTTAGAATATTGTTAATGTAGAAATTTAAAATTGATAAACTTTAGAAGATATTTGTATATTTATTATTCAAATTAATAAATTAATATATTTTGAAATTATAAGTTATTTATATCATAAAAGCTTAATTATCTAATAGTAGATTTAAGCATTTAGAGATTTTATAATTTTTTTTTTTATAATTTCAATATTTTATTAATATTTTTATTAAATATTATTATATTATTATATTATTATATTATTTATTTAAATTCTAATTAAAGCTACAATTTTAACCTATTTTTTATAATATTTTTTTGTACATTACATAAAATATTATATTTCAAAAATTAGTAGGATAATATGATTTTGTAAAGAATAAATAAATATATAAAACCCTTGTTCTATTAATTAAAAATGTTTTTTTGACTAAAATTAAATACATGTATATTTATATATTAATTTAAATTATAAAAATATATTATAATATTTTAAATATATTTGCAACTTAAAAATAATAATATTTTTAACATTAGTTTTATTATTGATATAACAATATGCTTTTAAACTTTTTTTTTGTCTTTTATCAATTAGATTTAAAAAATTAATCCATACTAAAATAGAATGTAGAAATTATTATTTTTATTATTGTTATAATAATAAAATATTGTTTTTAAGCGCTAGTATCTATCAAACAAGGTTAGAGATTTTACAAATGGGATTTGAATTGTCAGTGGTATAATACTGACTTGCCATCGTGTAATAGTTTAAAGTCATTGTAGATAATCTTATATATATCTCTCAGTACAAGCTTGATTGAGACAAATAAAGAATCAAATGGTCTTGTACATGTTTAGATGGTAAAAGCCTTATCATTTGTCTCATTCCTATATGCTACTAAAATATTATATTCTATAACTGATTTGACACTCTAGAATAATTGTGATTTATATTTTATTTATTTATTGTTTCTTTTGGTGGGTCATATTTTCTTGCTTCTATGTTGCAATAAAATGTTATTTATTACTCTAAAATTAGAAAGTGCAAGCTATCCTACTTCACACTCGTTACCACCAGAATTTGACTATCTGAAGGTATCACCTTAAACTCTGTCTTATCTGTCTGATGTCTCAACACCTCTTAAAAGAAAACACCTAATGATAATAATTTAATTTATTTTACATCTTATTTACATCAAAGTATAAAATAATTTATCTCATGAGTTCTAAATAATATATAACAAAAATAGACAATTTTAATAGACTAAAATACAACACAGCCCAAACATAATAGGAGCAACGGTAATAGGAGAAAGTATTGGATATCGGTGAGCAATGACCGGGAAAGGCCACGGAGACAGGGAACGGCATTTGAAATGGAGATGTTCCCCATAGGGAGTGCCCGTGGGAAATCGGGAACCCTGGGAACTCTGGGAATGCTCGGGGTAGTGGGAGGGAGAGAGGGGGCTGGGCTGGGCAGCATCGATGAGGCTGCCCGTCCCCCGTCTTCTTCCTCCTCCTCTCGGTGTTTGCGAAATGCAGCTCCTCCGGCATCGTCATTGCCGTCTCGATCCATGAGCTTGCTGAATTTTCAGGCCTTCCAGGTGTTGCTGCCTCTCGCTCCTCTCAATTATCTCTTGTATCAACAATTGCGTAGTTCCGTTCAGTATTGACTGAGTCTTGCTTCGGTTCAGTTTGTCTCGGAGCGGTGTATGTGGTGATGATTTTATTCCTTTCGGGATGAGTCTCTGGTTTCCGTTTCGCAATTGGAGGTGTCTGTGCGAGAGCGGGAGGTATTTGATCGTCCGTGGCGGTGATTTCAGGTGCTCTTTGGTAGAAGATTGGCTCAGGATTTAATTGTCAATCTTTTTGCCGAGGATGAGTGGTTGTTGATGAGATTTGAGCGATGAAAGACAAGTTTCTGAGTTGCGGTGGCGAGAAGAGGCTTGCAGACATGGAAGAATTTCGGTACGCGCTAAGACCAGTTTTCGATATTCTTTTGAAATTTGATCTTCGATTTTGATTTGGAACAATCCAGATTAGGTGCGAGGTAATTGTTCGCGTTTTGTGCTGCATCGATCAGTTGCTGTTTCATGCGATTCTTGAATGCCTGAAATTTTCGGTCGAAAAAAATTGCCTTTGCCTTCTTCCACGTAGAGTAATTAATTTCACATGAGTCCAGAACCTGTTTTCTTTTCAACGTTGATGGAACCAGTATACTCTATCGTTTGAGTACTGGATAAGTCATCTGGGATTTTTTGAGCTAGGCGTTCTGTTTTCAAGTGAAACGAATTTACACCAGCTACTTGAGGAAGTAGTATGTCTGTAGGAATGGTCCGGTTAGTACAAAAGTGGTGCCAATTTACCTGAACGAGGCTCCTCGAAGGTTGTGCATCTGTGATTACTGTCCAGGATCGCATCATAACTTCGTTTGCAGGTGTATGATAGTTCCGGGACAATATACGGTTTCTTTTCACAAGTTCTAAGCATTTGCATGAATGTCACGTGCAATATCAGTCGAAGAAAATGATTTTGATGCTCGACTCCAAAGAGACGCGATTGATTATAAGCATCGAGATGCACCTGATCAGCTCTATGTGATTCTGTAAGTGCTCCGGTTTAACGTGGACATTAGTTTTTGACCTTCAGTATAAATCCATACATTTACGACCATAAAGGGTCCCATACAGTCCCAAGTCGGTGCATCGCACTTGAAGAAGGTTTCTTTTCCTGTCCAATGTGAAGCTAAAGTATTAACCAGAATATATACATCATTTTACCCCCTTGCAACATTAATTTAGGTCGTCAATGTGAGCAGCTATATGCCATAGTCAGATCTTTTCTCAAGTTCATGGTGCCCGTGTAGGCGTTAGCTGGATTCCGGCACATGCAAGGGAGTACTTGACATAAACAGCTTATGCTATGTCGACGCGATCGCGAGAGCCGAACCGGATCTCTAAACGAATACTCCACAGATGGGAGACACTAGTTTACAGAGCGAAGATGGCGGCGGAGCGGAAAGATTTGACGATGTCGCACGCAGGATCATCTTCTAATACCACTGTACCTCAAAGCTTGCTTCAGCAAGCGAACGTTGATTCCATTTTGCAGGCTGCTGATGAACTTGCACTGGAGAATCCAGATGTAGGACGAATCTGTATGTGCAAATTTATCCTGTTACCTTGTGTTAATTTGAAGTAGCCGCATGGGTTCATTTTATACCTGTGGTATATGGAACATAAGACTTGATGTCTAGTTTGTTTTAATAATTCCATTTCAGAAGCCCGAACTAAATGAATTGAATCGAGGCATATTAATTTGGAGGGAGATTGCTGAACATAGCGTATCTTAGATTTATCTTTTAAGCATAACAATACGCTTTTTCCTCCGTCAAAGCTTCAGCGCATTCTGCCTGCGACCGAGTGGATGATCGTATTCTCTGCGTAATTCGGGAGCTAATGGTTTCTACGCTTTTCGAATTCGAAACCTGTGCAGTGTCCGAGTATGCGTATACTCTAGTGCAAGATCTGGATCCCAACAGTGAAGGCAGGGGTGTGTTGCAGTTCAAGACGGGTTTGTTGTCCGTCATCAAGGTATGCATGCCTTGACCCAAGATTCAAAGCCCTATCAACTTATGAGTACACACTCTTTTGTCCAGTTACATCTCCTTATCCATTTATTTTGCTGCACAGGCGCTGTTGAGTACACTCGTTATGCTTATGAAGTATGTGTTCTCTGCAGCAAAGGCGCTCCAAAAAAGGGGCAGAGAAGATTAATCGAAGTCAGGATATCAACATATTACAAGATTTCTACAGAACATACAGAGAAAGGAATCACCTTGACCAACTGGAGGATGAAGACAGGAGGTTCAAGCAAAGTTATTCCTATGACGAAGATTCAACAACGTGCGTGCTCTCTGTGGAACGCCACATTAACTTTTAGTTAATATGTACCGGTATTTCTTGAATTGAGATGTTCTCAATCGTTGACGTTCGCACTTGTTTGTGCAGAACTGAACAACGGGGCAAGTTGATAAGGAAAATATACACTACAGCAAGAATTCTGAATCAAGTAATTGATGCCCTTCTGAAGCAGAATGAGAAATACGAAGATTTTGATCCAGAGGTAAATCTGCGGAAAGCCCTTCGTTTTGAAGGAAAACCGGATGCACATGCCACAATATATATTCTGTCTGGAAAGCAAACATTCGAATGATACTCTGGTCACAGGAAATTTAACGTGGGGTTCGCTTGGAATGATTTGAACTCTAGTAGCCAGCGTGGGGAATGAATGAATGATGATGAATTCTGAAGTTATATACCTGTATATATTTGACATCATGCTATCATGAAGCATTTTCGATGGATTTCCTTGCGGGTCTTCTCCTCGAGCGGTTGCTGTGTGCACCTGTGGAGTGCATTCCTGACATGGGTATCAATTCTTATTTTCGATGGGTGTAAACATTCCAAGTCATGTTTTTGATGCTGAGGTTCACAAATGAACCACCATGATGCTGTCTCTGCAAGTACCTGACACCTGTGACCTTCATCAGTTGAAAAGGATTATGGAAGAAGATGCACAGAAGGAGAAAGGTTTCAAAGCTTACAACATCTTACCACTCGAGACCCCTGGCGTGGCAAATGTCTTCCATAATTTTCCAGAGGTAAATATTATGATAGGAAATGATATATTATTTACCTCTCTAGGAAGTATACCTTTTCTTCTATCACTACAGCATGAAACTGTTTTTGATGGCGTTCTGCTTACATTGGTTGTGTACTGAAGGTTTGCTTGAATGTAACTACAATACGTGTTTCCGTATTATCTCAAAGATTTGATATTGGTTACTGTGGTAGCGTCCGCTCCATATTTGACTGAGTTTTTTGAGCATAGGTGGTTGGAGCGAAGAGAGCACTTGAGTACAATAGTTCGTCAGCAACGCTCCCTGCGTTCCCGGAGGAAAATTTCGAGAGGCCATCGGATAGGCCGCTGGACATCTTTGATTTCTTACAGTATGTGTTTGGTTTTCAGGTCTGTAGCTTTGAATGCTGAGAATCTTATTTATCTGTTTAGTTTCCTGCTATTTTATTTACAATTTGAATGGAAGTAGGTTAACATCTTTAATAGCGTTGCACTGGTGCACTAGCCATTGCAGGCAGGGTGAAAAATTTAATGATTCACTAAATTAAAAAATTTCTTATGTTTGTTCGGATGCGTAAGCATCCATGTTTGCAACAACGTGCATTTTTACGGCCCTTCATCGTCAGTCACTCGGAATCTGAATTCATTATTGAATGCTAAGAATAGCTGGATTGATGGTGATTTGCAGGTAGACAATGCGGCAAATCAGAGAGAGCATTTGATATTGTTACTATCCAACTCGCAATCGCGATTGGGCGTGCTAGTGGATACGGAAAATAAGGTGCTTTAAATTGCTTGTCAACCATACCTGTCTATTCCAGGAAACACACATAAAAGTTGATTTTAGATATCTAAGATACTCCGAGGCGGGAAAAATGCGAACAACTTTAAAGTAGGGTTCAGTTCATGATCTTTAACAGGCTTAAAGTGATTCACTAAAGTCCTACTTCTTAATTATGATCTGAAAATATATATATATGCAGTATAGGTTGCGAACAATATTTATCTTAATGTTGATAATACCTCTATTTTCAACTCCGTTCAGATGTTATTCTCTTATCCTTGAGACTTGTAAGGGTTGCAGTAAAAGAGGACTTTGTTGATCTTCAAAGTGAAACAGAAACTCTTCATGTTAGCTTGTCTTGGCACTATACTGTACTTCACGATTTTGCATGTTAGTTTGCGAGGTGGCTCTTATCAAGTTGTTACCATATAGATTACCTTGTAGCACTTATGGTGTTTAGCACCTTATTAGAGCTTATTTATTGAAGCCTTGTATGATAATCAACAGTGAGATTTTAATATATTGCATTTTTGTGGCAGCTGGATGATGGGGCCACAAATGGCGTACACATCAGCATGATGAAGAACTACGAGTGGTGGTGCCGGTTCTTAAATAAGGACTCCATGGCAAAACGGTATAGTCTCTGCAGTCAATATCAAGTGCACTGGTCCTTGAATGATGCATATTCTCTGGGTGACTTAGGCTTAGTACAATGCAACATAAGCCACATTTCTACGTGCTTTCACATGCTGACTTTAGTACATGAGCCTCTAATGTAGATGTGTTTTATTGTTGTGCTTAATGTTGCGCTTTAACAACTTACTGTATTCAAGTTTGATGGTCCTACAGCTTGTTTAATTACGGATGTCGAGTGGTTTGCGATTATTAATAAAACAATTATCCTCAATGATATATCTTGGTTGTTTTGTTTTGCGGAATCAATGAACGTGTAAATTAGGTATGGTGGGCGATGATAGATTTGATTAGTAATGGTTTCGACATTTTCCATGCAGAGCCTATTCGACGCAATTAAGGCTATTCCTTACCGCTCTTTATCTGTTAATTTGGGGAGAGGCAGCAAACTTACGCTTCTTACCAGAGTGCCTATGTTACATCTTCCATCATGTAAGGAGCCTATTATCTGCGTATGTATGTTTTTTGTAATTTTTGTTCTAGCATGTTTTTAATCTCACTTTCACCATCTCCATTAACAAAGAACCAGCTTGTTGCATTCTGGTCGTCACATCTTCATTTCTGATCTAATTTTCATTCATTAACTAAAGAAAAATTGCTTAGACAATCAACGTGACATAAATGGTTCGACTTTCAGTAGTAAATATTTTTAAATTATTGGCATATAAGATACATTACAACTCTTCAATAGCTGCCGTATTTGTATATCGTCAGCCTTGAAAGGGCGTTCATGTCGACTAAGATTAATTCAAAATGGTGGGTGTGCTATTCATTCGCGTTCTCAACGCGATATTTTGCAGATCTATGAACCCAGTTTCAGTTAATATGCATGATTGAACAGAAGGACTAGGTCGGACCTAAATTTTGAAATCTCTGATGTGGTTACAGATGGCTGATGAAATGTATGATCTGCTTGATGAGGATGAAGTGAAGAGGTCACGGACGTTCCTCTCTGATTCGCCCCACTCTTTCTTGGACAATATCATAAAGCCTGTTTATGATATTCTAGCTGCGGTAAGGTTTTGATTCATGGTCTATATTCTATTATGCATTCCTGTGGAGCTTCAATTTGCTGCAGGTCTGCATCTGCTGTTCTCAGTTATTTTTGGCCTGCGGAGTTTTATAAAATTACATATGTGTCATCAAGAGAGAAATCGCGTTTGTTCATGTGTAGTTGTGTTACATTGAGTGATGAAAAAAGTGTGGTTTTGAGCTACCCTTCAGTACTTACATTGCCTGTTAATACATAGTTTTATTTCTAGTGGTCATGCATTGCTCCGTTGTGTGGTTTGAGATTTCTGTCGTATGCAGCAACTTCTCGAAGTTGTAGCTTTATTCTGGATTTTGAGTGCTTCCATAAAGATTTCAGAAGTCGTGATTGGTGAATTAGCGGACTTTTTTCTGGATTCAGGAGGCTAAAGTATCTGCCGATGGCAGAAATCCGCATTCTGCCTGGAGAAACTATGATGACGTTAATGAGTTCTTCTGGTTGGTATCTTCCCTTTCATAATAATTTTGGTGGCCCTTCATGTACTGTGTTCACGCCGCTTGTCTGGAATACAACATCAAATCTACTCTCATTTCCCTTTGAGCTACGTCTGCTCATGCCGAAATATCAACTAGTTATAAGATCTCTTTATGGTTATTTGTATTTAGCTATTCTAAGAACCTTTTAATTCATTTATAGTAGGTTTTTATTTTTAATAAATCTTGTTCTCTTGCTTCATTATGAGCAGGGCGCCGACTTGCTTTGAGCTATCATGGCCTTGGAGGCTTGATGCAGGATTCTTCAAAAAGCCCGAGAAAGTGATTTACTCAGAAGCTGACAGATGTGTAAGTTTATTCACCATAGGCACTCATGTAGTATCATTTTTTTATTTTATTTTAATTTTTTTTAATTTTTTTTCTGTGATGTTGGTTTAATTCTTTTTTTCTTTTTAAGTGCATTTTTCTATGTTATATCTAACGTAGAAAGGTATAATCGGTGAAATATTCCAAACTTATTGATTGCTTAGACCTGAACTTATTTCAACTTCTTATCTATTGGTCTCATTTCTTTTTTACTTTTCTCATCTTCTGTGAGTGTAAAATGATGAAGCTCATGAACCGAGTTCATTTGTAGGAGCAAATACCAGAAGAACCGGAGGAGCCACAAAATTTGGGTGAAAAACGGGAGAAAAAAGTAGGAAAAACCCATTTCGTTGAGCACCGGACTGGCTTCCATATTTATCATAGCTTTCATCGTCTTTGGATTTTACTTGTGTGCATGCTTCAGGTAAACAAGCCGTTTGTAAACAAATTTGATTTTTTTTTTTTCGTTTCTGTTTGTTTTGTTTGTTTTTATTTTTGTTTCTGTTTGTTTAATTGTTTGTTTGATTAGTTTTTTTCGTTACTTTTGTTATTGTTGTTATTTTTGTTATTTTTTCTATATTTTTTAATGTTTTTTTTTATTTTTTTTTTGATTTTTTTTTTGATTTTTTTTTTTTTGTTTTTTGCGTACTTATAGTCATATCTGAATTCAATCTCACTTCTAATATTCCCTCCTTTGAACTCTGATCTATAGCCGTGCTCATAGTACATTACTAGATCATGCTTTTTTTTTGAGTTATATTTGAACTGCATCATGCTTGCTGACTTCATCACATAGCAATATACATTACAAGCTGACTTTGATAATTAGCGTTGAACGAATCATTGATCTCATCATTGGTGGGAGCTAGTTTCATTGACATGCTGTGTGCCTGTACCGTAGGGGCTGGGCATATTTGCCTTTTGTGACCGCAGATTCACTGTTCGAACTGTTAAGTTTGTAATGAGTGTTGGGCCTACTTTTGTTCTCATGAAGCTCCTCCAATGTGAGTCGTCTTTTTAGCTCTGTCTAATGCTTGTATCTTTCATATGTTCTAGTGTTCTATTTTACGAAACATAGACGAACCTCAAACTTTAGTTCACTCACTCAGGGCATATATATCATACCGATTAAGTTATTGGGCTAAAGTTAGGATGATTGGAGACTTTTAAGTTGAGTTACCACTTTTAGGTCAAAAGTACACCACGCTTGGCTGCTGTGAACCTATTGGTTGGTTCTCAAACTATTGTCAAGTGAACTGTTTGTGGTTATGTGTGCAGCTGTGATGGATGTCACCTTGACGATTGGGGCTTATAGAAGCACTCGAGCACGGAACATCTCGAGGATGTTGATGCGTTTCACTTGGTTCACCATCCTCTCAGCAGTCGTAGTCGTGCTATATGTGTGAGTCTACCGAATATTCTATGCAAGTAGAATATGTATTTCACTCTTAAATATTCTTGGATATAGCATGCCTTTCATTGCGAGGTCGTAAGATTGTAGACTATTTTACAGCCTATTGACCATTGTGCTATTATTTAAGTGTGGCTCATGCCCCTTGTAGATAGCAACCATGGTAAATGTGGTTGTAACTCTAGGTGATTTTCCTGGTTGCAGGAAGACAATCGAAGAGGAAAACGGTGGATCAGGAACTAATACTTGGTTTAGGGCCTTTTACTTAGTGATGGGCATTTGTGGTGGCCTGCAACTCTTTTTCGCTTTGATACTACGTGTTCCCTGGTTTCGGATGCAAGCAGATAAATGTTCAAATTTTTATGTGGTACAGTTCGTTAAATGGGTACATCAGGTACTTCTGTCTTCAACCCGGCTACTGCTTCTGATTATGCAAGAATTTCTCTTTATTTAATATCCACCAGGTTTAGTGCAACAGCGCTAACTGATAGCTTATTGGTGGATGCCCCACGCATTTACTTGTAAAAATTTTGACACCTTTTTGGGCGGACATGTTATAATCAGGAGAGATACTACGTGGGAAGTAAAATGTACGAGAGAACTCGTGACTATTTCACGTAAGAAATTCTTTCATGACATAATCGTAAAATCAATTTGTTGCCATTTGATTGCAAATCCACTATTTTGAAAGTCCTGTGCACAGAAATTTTCAATTCAAATCGATTCTATGATACTATGCACAGCCAGGTATATGATATAGTTAGAAGTGAAATATGATACATTGTGAAATAGAAAGCTCTCAATGTATTTCACAACTTTCTAAATGTTGAAATCCCCGTTCTGTCATCGATTTCTACAGGTACACTTTATTCTGGTTTGTTGTTGGAACTTGCAAGTTTGCCTTCAGCTATTTTTTGCAGGTATGATCATTTGGTTTATCGTGCTCTGATTTTCTCCTAGGAAGAATATTCAGTAACTTGCATAGCTATTAGTTCATGTTTTCCCGGAAAACTTGGATTTTAAGGAGCTATGTTGGTGCTTTCCTTATGTATGTGGTTTGAAGAGCACAGATCCATCCTATGGTGGAACCGACAAGAACTATCATCGGTATCCGAAATATCAATTACCGATGGAAAGATCTCGTTTCTCAGAGTACTTTTCTTCCAGCTGTTAATGCGCCCTCATGTTATTTGATACAATCTTTTCTTAAGCTCTCTCTGGAATACATGTTTGAATCTTAGATATTTTGTTCATTCCACCATCGTAGAGTTTCTGTATGTTATGTGATGAATCGGGAGGAAATTGTGATTGCGAGCAGTAAAAATAATATTGATGTTGTACGTGCTATATCTTGACAGATAATTATAATGCCCTTACACTGGTGTCTTTGTGGGCTCCTATTGTTATGGTAATCATCCTCACCTGTTATGTCTTGTTTTTCTATTTCGGCCTTGCTTTTTCTTTGACAATTAGCTGGTCGAATTTTAATTGACGGGCTTTGATGTCACTCAAGGAAATCCCTCTGCATTATTAATAAAGTCAAGCTATATTACTGGAAAATCGTGATTGCCAACTTGCAAGTTCGTATGAAGCAAGTTATTGATTGAAATATTTGCTCACAGGTTTACTTCCTGGATACACAAGTGTGGTATACGATAATTGCTGCTCTTGTCGGAGGGTTGGTTGGTGCCAGGATGCATCTTGGGGAGGTATCTTTCAACTTGAACTCTCACCAATGTGCACCTTGCTACAGATGTTTGTGTATGCAGATTACGCTGCAGATCTGAATCAGTAAGAAGCTGACTAGATTTTTTACATTTCTTCTTAGCATAAAGCATCTACCCATCTGTCTCAGCTTGAAATTTCTATTGTTGTTCAAGAAATTATTTTTATTCATGGCAGATCCGATCTCTTGACATGTTGAGGTCGCGGTTTTCTTCTTTGCCGGGCGCATTCGTCAAGAACCTAGTTCCCTCCAGAGGTGGTTGCCACTCTCAAATGTAAACATATTCGTTACTACTTTTCACTTTCACAAGTATGGCATGATATTTAATTGCAAGCATAGAGCAGACCAGATTGAAGTTACTGAACCATTTATTTTTCATGCTGATTGTTTCATGCCTACTTCTCTTCTTCTAGTCAGTACCTCTTTGACTTGTGGATATATTCAGCTAGAAACGATTTGAATTCTTTATGAATAGTATTCTCTTCTCTCTGATTCCCTTTTAACTCTTCGCAGGGATGTAAATGTTCCTCTTAGTGCAGTCAAGGTGCAGTGCCAAACTTGCCTACTACCTAGCATAATATCTTGCATGTTTTTCTATGATACGATCTTATGAAATATTTCTCTTGGTCATTCATCCCATCAGCTTTACTTTTGTTTTACTGGTGAGGCTATATTTTGCATTAGTTCATAGCAGGTTTTCTTGCACATCTACCTGTAACATTGTGTACTATGACTGAATTCGCTACCTGTGAGCTGGCCTTGCAGCCTGGGAATCCAAAAGTTGATGCCATTCGATTTGCTCCACTGTGGAATGAGGTCGTTCTCTCCCTGCGTGAAGAAGATCTCATCAACAACCGGTAAGGGCCTGAGCTCTTCTGTCAGTTGTACGATCACCGAAGATTTTCACCTTATTTACCACCTCTGTATCATTGCTACGTTGTGAACGGATGTGAAAAGTTCCATCCTAAGTTGCGCAATTTGAGAAATTACTGAATTATTTGAAATCCCGGGAATTGTTTCGATTATCGATCCGAGGTGTACTGTAATTTTCTGATCACTACCCGAATAGCTATTTTATGACATAAGCCTATATTCTGTGCAATGGAACATGTCAACGATTACATTTGCTTCACGTTTTTCACTGTTACAAGGGATAATTTCTCATGTATCATCGTGATGTTTTGTCAGAGAGAGAGACTGGTTGCTTATGCCTGACAACATGATCACTCTTACTGCGTTGGGGCAACACACATTGGTTCAGTGGCCTTTATTCCTACTTGCAAATAAGGTTAGTGTTCATGTATCATTTCATCTTGGTTTCAGTTTTACATGTTAGAGCATTTCACATGGCTGTGATTCTGTGATTCTGTGATTCTGTATAGGATCTCAGTCTTTTTACGAGGCATAATCGGCTGATAGAAGAGTAACAACTTGAAACATTCGGAATCTTCATTCATGAAGTTGAATCGAGTCATTTGCGTGGTTATGCTTGAACCTCAACTCGCTACTGGATTAACAGGTATATATTGGATTAGAAATCGTACATGAAAACAGGCATGGTAATCAAGCTGAGCTATGGGACAGAATCAAGCACGATACATATTTGGATTACGCTGTGCGGGAAGCATATGCATCTTCACAAAGTGTCTTGTGGGACATATTGAACGAAGATGGCCGTGCGTGGTAGGTGGTTGCTAGCGTTTATACCTGTTTCCTTAGTTTTGTTGCGAGTCCTCTGTATAAAGTTGGGGTGTGATGCCGTTTCTCAACCTAACCTGCCAGCAATTAACAATTATTTCAAGTGCAAAGAAAGCTCAGATTAGGATCGCTGTATCGTGATGATAAGTGGATCGCTGTATCGAATTTCAGCTACTTGTGGACTTTGATGGGATAGTTACTTGCTTCTTGTGGGAGTTTTCCTTGAAGCGTATATTGAAGAAAACATGTTTGACCTCTGATAGTATTACAAATTTTACGATCTCCTTCAGGGCTTTAGAGACTGGAGCTTTACTTTAATTCTCCAGGTTGTAAAGGCTACAGCCATATGAAGGCATTACTTATGAATAAGCGATACTTCTGGCTTGAACAGGATAAGACGTATCTATCAAGACATTGATGATGCTATTGAAAGTTCTCTTCTATTGAAAAAGTTTAATTTCGAGGATTTTGGCGACGTCATGGAAAAAATCTTAAATCTGACAGAAATCCTGGTATGTTTTTTCCCCCTTAGAAATAGAGATTTCCCCAAATCCATTCAGGGCCATTATTGTTTATGCACCTTACTATTTTCTAGAGATGTTCTTGTGTCCTGTAGTGCTGGTCTCCTTTTTATAACCTTCTATATCGAGGACTTCATGTGTCCACATTACTCTATTCATATTTTAATAAAAGAAGATCATGTCAATTCTTTCGGACCGACTGAAGAATCGTCACTAATTTTTTTGGAAAGTTATTGGTCTACATTCAGATGTGTTTATAATTCCCTCTTTGAAGAAGGTTCATTTTGTTATGATTCAGGTGACTGAGCCTAAGAAAGACGATGAGGACGGGAGACACGAAGAAGAGTCTAAGTTGCATGAAAGTGCAATTGGGGCGTTAGTGGACTTGTATGAAGTCGTGATGCGGGATTTTATTATGGATTCGAACCTCAGGTGTGATGTTCGAAATGTGTGATCTATCAAATCTGAGATTTGAATAGAAATGGATATTACTGCTGTCTTTGGGTTTCACAAGGAGGGCAAGTTCCAAGTTCATTCCTGCAGGTTGAATGTTATGTTGTTCAGATGGGTCTATCACGTTGCGCCATCTTCTGGATTCTGAAACTTCCACCTCCAGATCTCCTCTTCCCCTTTATTTACCTGCTTCAATATCTCCAAATTTAGAACATAGGAACTGTCATATGTTTTATGAATTGGACGATAATTGATCTGGTGATATCTGATGATAGTATTATATCGATTTGACTGCAGTGAATTTGGACATGTTTCCGTTAGATCTTTTTATAGTGTTTGGGTTGTGGGAGCACACTTTTAATATATTTTTTTAATTGTCATCCCTTGTAACATATTTGGATAAATTACCTAGTTTAGCTTATTTTATCTTTGTATTCATGGTTTTTGGGCCGTTAAGATTCTGAATCGCATATCTATGGTTGAGTTTTATTTTCTTTGTACTAGTTTAGAGGAAGATCGTCAACTTAGATTCTTTCTTGTCTTTTGTGCTCCAGGGCTAATTATGAAAGTGACACAGTGTTACAAGCTTCAAAGCAGGATGGTTCTCTGTTCAGTCAATTGAAATGGCCCACAGGGCAGGCTGTAAGTAGTCTCCATCTTGAAAATTACTCGTTCTTCCAATCTTCGAACTACGGCTTATCTTACCACATATAGCACCTTTGAAAGTTTCTTTTATTTGGTAAGGTGCGCGACAGCACTTTGAAATATCGTACTTGAAGAGAGCTTCTAATTCTTCTTTTCATTTTTACTGAATAGTACTAAGGTAGCTGGTCCCTCAATTATGTGGCATGTACAGAAAGAACAAGTTCGACGACTTAATTACATTTTGGCAATCAAGGATTCGGCATTAAATGTTCCAGTTAATTTAGAAGCTCGTCGACGTTTGCAATTCTTTAGCAACTCACTGTTTATGTCAATGCCTCAGCCACCACCTGTTCGTAAAATGATTTCTTTCAGGTCCCTACATCTCTCCTCTCTCTATATTTATTTATCATTTTACGATGTTCGTGCTAATTTTGTTGTTACAATGAGATGAAACTATTTTTTTTGTGTCTTTTATTCTTCTCTTTTTTGATGTATTTTCTTTCTAGGTGAGATGTGATCTAAATGCAATTTCCGGTTGGGTGGTGATTGTTTTGCAGTGTGCTCACTCCTTATTACGAAGAAGATGTGATGTACTCCAAGAAACAGCTGGAAGATGCGAATGAAGATGGTATTACCATCCTTTATTATCTGCAAACTATTGTTCCAGGTTTGTGCAATCATCTCAAACCTTTCTATGTGCAAACATCCAGTTGCACTGATAGTAAGCATAGAGGAGGCTATTTGTTCCAATTTTATTCTCCCCTTCAATTTTTTTCTTCTTTTAACAAGTCAAGTCATGTAAATGCAGACGAATGGACAAATTTTCTTGAGAGAATGTATCCTAATGTAGGTTACAATCAATTGAAAACCTTCAGCGAAAAAGCTTTTAGCGAAGAACAATTTCTAGAGTTACGTCTATGGGCTTCGTATCGAGGGCAGACCCTTGCACGAACAGGTGAGGTGGTATTGCTGTCTTTGAGTTGGCCACTTTTTCGGGCTGTGAGGCATGACACTTTTAGAGTGGTGCTTAGGATTATTAGATACTCTATGCTCTTGGATTTTTACTATATTTATTTGCCTGCAAATCATTGCATTGGTTATGTACAATTGTTGAAGAGACATTGTCACATCTAAATTCCAGGACCATTAAACGTCTTGCTTTTAAGTAAAAGAATCTTGACAATTCTTGTCAGACGCCGACGAGAATTGACAAGTTCTTGATCTCTAGACTTATTATTTGCCTTGTGTAGTCTTTTTATGTATATTGTTACATTGTTTTGTTAATGATGGCATGACGTCGTTCTGTTCTTTTTGCCTCGTTTTTAATCAGATAAGTATTTTATTAGTGAGAATTTTAATGAGCATTTCTGAATTACCACATTTAGCACTATGGTATAAATAGATCATCATTGTTTTCCGTACTGGTTAGTAATTATGAATTCAAGTCTATTTCTGATGTAGTTCTGTTTTGCAGTTCGTGGGATGATGTATTATAAAAGGGCTCTTGTATTACAAGCACAACAAGAGGGTGCTTCAATGGAAGGTGCTGGTTTCTTATTGATCAGCGTACAGAACCCGAACATGTTTTGTGTTAGGAATGCTTAGGTTTAGCAAATACTGCTCAAGGAAACCAACTTATCTAAGATCATATCAAGGGAAGACTTTGAAGCATAGTATTATATTATAAACGCACAAAACACCAAACTCATCTGCTTGATCATCATGACACAAGAACTTATAATATTCTTTCTTTTATATTATGTGAATATATTAAGTGGATTATTTATTTACTTGATTGTTTGAGTCCGTAATGCTAACTTGATGATCACTAAGCATTTGTGAATATAAAATTCTCTTTCATTTTACAACATCCTTTATGTCGGGTAAAATCCAAAAGATTCGCCGAGGATCATGCCCTCGAAGGCAGTTTGGAGCTAACAAAAATATCCCTGGGAAGTGATCAGGAAGTCCGCGCTTGTGTGTCGAGCTTCTCAAGTAGTTCTGGTTGTATTTTTAGTCTTCCAAACGCTTTATTTTCTCATTCAGCACAAATACCTGACTTGTATTTCTTAACTTTATTGATATAGAGGACGAGGAGGGAGGACATAATCTTGAAGGAAATGAGCTTACAATTGTTAATGTGAACACACCTCGCACTCCGAAGGGGTCTCTGGTGAGGACTGCAAGAGCTCAGGCGGAGCTTAAGTTTAGTTACGTTGTCACTGCTCAAAATTACGGGAAACATAAGAGCAGCTCGACACCAACACAGCAGGAAAAAGCTGCAGATATATTATATCTCATGCATAAGTACGTTTTTGTCCCATTGTTTAACCTCTGCTCTTGTTCTTTGTCAACATTTTCTGGAAAAATTATACGTGAAAACCGCAGGATGACGTGTTATTTTTGGTCTTCTAGTAATAGGTTTCTTACCGATATTTGTGTTCACTTTGAGCAGTTCAATGATTTTCTGGTTGTGTCATTCGATCGACCTGGGATAAGAATTTATCAGCTACTGGGCAATAAAAATTTGATTTATCATGCGAAGTGATTGATCTTTTAACTTGAAATGGCAGGAATGATTCTCTAAGGATAGCTTACATCCATGAAGCGAAGAAGACAATTCGCGGAAACCTGGTCAGTGAGTACTACTCCAAGCTTCTTAAAGCTAGTCCTGGTGGAAAGGATGAGGTAATGATCAAGTTATACCTTCTCTTAAACTCGTGCCTTAAGAGGTTCCCAGTGCTCTAATGGTGGTAGTCTTCATGGCACATATATGGTTCAGCCTTGCAAAATTCTTTCCCGCACACACACATGGATTTTTGATTCACAACAGCCGAGTTAACCAAGAGTCCCTATCTGCCATCGTAGCATTTTTTTTTTATTTTTTTATTTTTTTTTTTAATTTCATTTTATTTTATGTTATCTCCTTTTTCTTAGTGAAATTTCTTGTGTAGGAAATATATTCTATCAAACTGCCTGGAGCAGTCACTTTGGGAGAAGGAAAATCTGAGAATCAGAATCACGCAATTGTGTTCACACGTGGAGAGGCCCTTCAGACCATCGACATGAACCAGGTTGTTATGATTATTTTTTTCTGGACACATTAGAAAGTTAATATCAAGTTAACATTAATCAAATACGAGTTATTACAGTTTGATCACACTATATCGGCGTTAGTGGTTCTTTTCCACATAGATATTATGTATGTGAGTTATGTAGCAACTACCTGTCTAATGGTATCCTGTTTTGTGTTCAAGGAGCATTACTTAGAGGAAACTCTTAAGATGCGCAATCTCCTTGAAGAGTTTGATTCGAAGGATCATGGACTTCGTTCCCCTACCATTCTTGGAGTTCGTGAGCATGTCTTCACAGGCAGGTGTGGCCATGGTTTGTCCAAGTCAAATTCAAAAGTATCGCATATCTCTTATATTTAAGCACTTTTGTATTTGAAAATTATTGAATCTCCCCTCTGATGTGCTTTCTGGTTTGTAGTGTATCATCGTTGGCGTGGTTCATGTCTCTGCAAGAAAGGAGCTTTGTTACCCTTGGGCAACGAGTCCTGGCGAAGTCACTTAAGTGAGTTTTCTGGCAAGTTCTGACTATTTTCTGCATATTTGTTAGATTGTATATTTCTTTCATATCTTCAACCTCTTAAGGATAAGAAAAAGTTGTAGGGGAACTCAAGAACTTTGAAAAGCTTTCTTGCACATGTCATCAAAGTTTCGATGACTTTGTATGATTAATTCGCATGCTCGGCAGGGTAAGAATGCACTATGGTCATCCCGATGTTTTCGATCGGATATTCCACATAACAAGGGGAGGTATCAGCAAATCTTCAAAAGAGATCAATCTGAGTAAAGATATTTTTGCAGGTTTGATTTCTTGATGCCTATACTTTCCATCTAATACTATCTATTACTATCTACGTGAGAATATGACAAACTTGTGACTGTATGTGCGTGTATGTGTTGTTTAAGCCTTATCCGGATTTGTCTATTTATGTTGTGTAAAGTTATTACCAACATGTTTGGGAAGTAAGCTAGTGTTTACGTGAATGCTGCTTTAGTTACTGCTTTTTAGGAGTAAGGTCATGCCAATATTCATGAGACCCACATATCTTACTCTCTTCTTCAATTTTTATGTAGGTTTTAACTCGACGTTACGGCAGGGAAATATCACTCACCACGAATACATTCAGGTTAGTTGTGTCGACGCCTTTAAATTCGGAACACATGAGCACCATTGGCTGCGTTTCACTGAGGCATCTAATCTGTTACTGAGTTTTACAAGGGTGTGGGGATGGCAGTGCGGGAAGGGACGGGACGTAGGTTTGAACCAAATTGCAGCTTTTGAAGGCAGAGTTGCTTCTGGAAATGGGGAGCAAACGATTAGTCGTGATATATATCGTTTGGGCCAGCTTTTTGACTTCTTCAGAATGTGCTCCTTCTTCTTTACGTCCATTGGTTTCTATTTCACGACAATGGTTGGTGATCTTGAATCCATCCTAGTTCACGTATGGCACTCTGTTGTCCTGTATTTTACTCCATAGATGTACACACCACTTGTCTAACGGCGCACACTGCCGACTTATTTTTCAGTTCTATCGTTTGCTACTCTGTGTTTGTTGTGCACAAATAATCCCACAGTTTAATTTGTTTTTGTTTTAACGATACTGATTGGGTGGCAGTTGACTGTCTTAACTATTTACGTGTTCCTGTACGGAAAAATATATCTGGTATGTGATTCTGCGGCAACATTCATATCTTGGTAGCTTGACGTAGCTAAGTTGTTTTTTGCAATCTGGCACTAATCGGATCTAATTCTTTTTATTTCAATCAACTATTGACTGATCTGTTCCATATGAAAACTTAATTTTAGATTGATCTGGCCACTAATGATAAAATGTCAGGGATGTTCAACTTGTAGTCCTGCATTATCTGTATGGACGTCTATGTAAAACTTTAATAAATTCTATTGTTGGTAAATTATAGGCTCTCTCAGGTGTTGATGAAGTGCTCAAACAGAATAACTTGTTGGAGAACACGGCCTTGCAATCAGCGCTAAACACGCAGTTTCTTCTTCAAATTGGTATCTTCACAGCTCTGCCAATGATCGTGAACTTCATTTTAGAACAAGGAGTCTTGCCGGTATGGGGCTTCATCAAATTCTCCTTTGAAGTTGCTCGATTTTCTTTTTGTAGTAGAGTTTGCACTGCCATTTGTTAAGGTTTAAGTTTCATGTCTGATTGCTGCTGCATTTTATTGTTTCAACTAAAAGTTCTATTCGAAGACCAAATAATGGGACTTTTTGCGATTCATATGAGCCTTAGTTAAGACACCCAATCGTAATTAACAATGTGTGTAGTATACCTTATCAGTCCTCTGCTTAACTTGAAATTCTCTGAGGGGAATATTGTGCTTCTCTACTTCATTATCACTCCTAAGGTCCACTGTCTAGATTTATGTAGTCGTATCATCCTCCTATATGCTGATGCTTTTTTTTAATGAAGCACTCCAATAATAAGTGTGAGAGTCAGTTTCTGACTTGACTTATCTCAAATATTGTGATGCCTGTTGCAGGCGGTTATCAGCTTCCTTACCATGCAGTTCCAATTAAGTTCAGTATTCTTCGCATTTTCACTTGGAACACGGACTCATTACTTTGGCCGTACACTTCTTCATGGTGGTGCTAAGGTATGGAGTCATGAGCCTTTTAAACATGTTACATGCCGATTTTTGTTTTTGACTCTGCGGTTCCTGATACTGGTTAGGAATATGCATGATTGTACATGTACACTTTGCATATCTTTCTTATTTTTGGATTGAAATTCAAGACTCGTTTTAGAAGGTTCTTACTTGCTGAGCTTGCTTGGTATCAATGTAATCTTGTCTGAGATTGGAGTCTCTTCCTACAATCACAGTAGATGAGTTTGGCGAGGAAAGTTACATGACTTGGAGCTTCGAAGTTGCTTGCCACCTCCCAAGACCTTATTTATAGCTTCTTTCTTATTTTGTGGTGGATGTTTGTGTTCAACTCACAGTATAAATCTACTGGAAGAGGTTTTGTTGTCGAACATATTCCATTTGCTGAGAACTATCGTACTTACGCACGGAGTCATTTCGTAAAGGGGTATGATTTCTTTCTTCATGACAATCTTGCTTTTGTGTAACATGCAATCTTCAAAGCTGTACTTAAAGAAGTTAGTCCCCTTGGTTTTATTTTGTTGAAATTTATTAAGCTCTTTTACCTAAAGTTGAAGATCTTTTCATGTAAGGCTTCTCTTGCTTAATTGTTGAAGGCTTGAGGCACACTTTTTATTTGTTCTGCTTGTCTTGGTTACATGTAAACGGACACAGTATAGCCTCTTAACCAAATTCACAAAGTTAAATATTCAACCTTTGTTACTTTCTTGCAGAATGGAGATTATTATGCTGCTCATTGTTTACGTTGTCTACGGAGCCTATAATCGGTCTAATGCCAGCTACATTCTTCTCACATTTAGTAGTTGGTTTCTTGCTCTCTCATGGTTATACGCTCCTTTCATCTTCAATCCTTCTGGATTCGAATGGCAGAAGTAAGATAACTCAACCAATCTTGATCATGTGCGACAGACTTGTCATTGTTGGCCCTACTTAGACTAGCATGGTTTTCTTCCAGGATGTAGTTCGGATATTCCAGATGTGAAGTGATTCTAATTTTCATTCTGTAACTTCAGGACCGTGATAGATTTTGAAGACTGGACAAACTGGTTATTTCACAAAGGAGGGATTGGAGATGAAGGGAAAAAGAGTTGGGAAATTTGGTGGGACGAGGAGCAAGCTCACGTTCAGACGTTCAGAGGAAAGTTTTGGGAAATCATTTTCAGTCTGCGGTTTTTCATATTCCAGTATGGTATAGTTTATACCTTAGATGCTGCTGGCAATGACAAATCTTTATGGGTAAGTTAGCATGTTGTCTTTTGGAGCATAATGTCCTTGAGTGTGTTTACTCATGTTGAAACAGACAGGGAGGAGATTTTATGAAGCGATCGATTCATGGAGAGCTACGTATTATAATCATAGGGGAAAGCTACGCTTATTTGATTATAAAGACAAACTGCTCGAAAAAAATCGGTCTCTCAAACCGTAGGAATCAGCACATATTAGTAAGATTTATTGTGACAGGACTCTGTTATACTTAGATGAGGGCTCCGTCCGTTACAGTTCATCAGCGTTAATATTTTGAGGGCTCTTTGTGGAGTGAAACAGGTTTATGGATACTCCTGGGTAGTGCTTCTTGGTATATTTCTTTTATTTAAGGTGGGTATCGCTTTCTGGTAGAAGATTGATCGGATTACGTAGTCATGTTATGGCATCATCGAATTGGGTCTTAAAATTAGTTGTCAGTAGTTCATGAGTATATGTAACCAGCATGTAGATTGCTCTTCAATTTCAGTTCATTTTCGTTTAGACCTCAGTCTTAAAGTGTGGGTCGTAACATCAGATTCTTGATTTGGTCACGTTGATATACAGATTTTCACCTTCAGCCGTAAAGCATCAGCAAACTTCCAACTTATCGTGCGACTTTTACAAGGCGTTGTGTTCCTGGCTGCTGTTGCTGGTGTGAGCGTGGCAGTGGTTCTGACACGACTCACAGTTGGTGATGTGTTTGCAAGTATATTGGCTCTTGTTCCAACAGGCTGGGGCCTTCTCTCTGTAAGTATTCCTTTCTGTGTATGCGCACTGAGGACACACACGAGGTTTGCATTGGAGATTGTTTGTAGTCTAGTAATAAATGGAAATGGAAATATCATACATAAGGTTATCTGATGCTTTGGATCCTCATTCAACGTGTGCAGATCGCTATTCCATTGCGTCCAATCTGCAAGTGGTTTAGGATTTGGGGTTCAGTACGAGGAATTGCTCGGCTTTATGACGCGGCCATGGGAATAGTACTGTTCATGCCCATCGCCCTGTTGTCATGGTTACCCTTCGTCTCCACATTCCAAACTCGTCTCGTTTTCAATCAAGCGTTTAGTCGTGGTCTTGAGATCAACATTTTGTTGGCTGGGAATAATCCTAATCCTGCTCTGTAGTCTGTACAGTTTTTGCATTTTTTATCACCACTGAACTTCAAGTCGTATTTGTTTTCATTCAGTTGTAACAATTATATCTCCATTAGAATGCACTAGCAGTGTTTGTATGTAGTTTTGATGCATGTACATATCAAACCGAGGCATTTTTTGGGTACGTCGACTGAGAAATCTTGTAGCATTGCAACTGAGGCATCAAATGGCTACTGTATGAGAAAAATACTGTGGTCTATGTTATCATGCATCTTGTGCTCGTCTACAAAAAATTAAAGTCAAGATTTCCAAAGTTCACATGCATGAATGTGATGCTCAAATGAGTGCCACTACTCGGATGGAAGAATTTCCAAAGAAACAGGTTTCATCAATTGATGTTAAATCTTTATGTTCAAGTTTTCGAATTTTTTTTATAGCATAGTAAAATGATAAATAGCGTTAAATTTTAGTTATTAAATTAAAAAATATATATTTGCAACTCATTCTATGTGTGCATGTGCATGAATCGAACTTATATTTATTCACTTATAAAAAAGAAAATTAGATTGATATGACTGTTAAGCTTAATATTCATCCATGTAAGTTACATTGAAAGTTTGCTACTATTTCAATGATAAAGAAATCTAAACAATTAACATGGATTATACAAAATAGGAAATTAATAGTACTGATTTCAGAACAATGAAAGATGAAATAAAATCAAGCAACAAATACAATTACATATTTAAGTAACAATGAATCACAAGTGGGATTGTATATTTGGATATATATATATATATTAGCTGATGAAGAATGTAAAATAAATCAAGTTTTGAAATGTGTTGCATCACTTATACACGACATGATATAGAATAAAATGTAATACTTTACAAGGCAGCTTTTTTCCTACTAAGTTGAGAAAATTATTGCATAGTTTACCAAAAAGTATTCCACATTAGACCTATCTCTAGGAATGTCATGCACGATCCAAAATACACGATTTCCAACATGTTTAAAACTCAGTGCAATCCAAACGTGTCCCCCCCCCCCCCACCACAACTCCTCCAGTTTCTAAAAATATTTTGTTAGCTTATTAAATATGTACAACCCTAAAACTATGGTATTTTCTTTTTCTTAGTTTTTCGTTCTCGTTTATTCTTTGAAGAAAAATTACAGTGCTACCACATACACATTAGATTGCAATGAGTTCATCTATTGCCAGTTCACTGGTGGTTGTGCCGAAACAACCATCCTAAGAAGCATCAACTTGGGGTGGAGAAAACGTGAAGTTTTCTCCACAGAATAACGTTGGCAGGTTTTCAACAAACGTACAGAAGCATAGCAGCTGGATGCAGCAGAGCTCTTTGAATGCAAGAATGGCAAGAGCTATGCACTCAAAGAAACAAGAGCTATGCAGGAAGGTTCACTTACAGAGATGACCAAATGGGCAAGCCGGGTAGGCTCTGGCCGCCATCCACAATGAACGTGTTGCCGGTGATGTACTGGGAGTCGTCACTAGCAAGCAAGATCACAAGTGACGTCAAGTCCGGATCAACAGCTCCCCATTTTCCAGCAGGCACGATCTTCGTAGCAACCTTGTGCAGCCACTCTTTCTGGAACAGGTCGTTTGTGATCTCCGACTTGAACAATCCTGCAGCTATGGCGTTCGTGCGGATGTTGTGATGCCCAAGCTCCATTGCCATAATCTGGTCACCACCACAGAATATTCGAGCCGCACATGAGATCAAGCAACGTAGCCAGTACAATTTCTTTAATCGTCAAAATCCTTTGGAATCAATGCATGACGCTGTAGGATTTTGGCAGAGAGGTGGGAATCGGACCTTGGAGAGATGTATTACGGCGGCTTTGGACGTGGAGTATGCTAAGCCACCGGGCAACAAGCCCCGTTCAATGCCCCCAATTGATGAAATGTTAATAATGGAGCCTCCTCTCTTCGCTGCCACTAATCGCTTCGATACAGCCTTGGACATGAGCCACGTGCCGCGCAAATTGGTGTTGAAGATGGCATTCCATTCATGCTCTTCTTGATCTATGGGGGTTCTGACAGGACCTGCGAATGATTTGGATTGATTCATGCGATGATCAGAAAATCGTTCTCTAAAACCTTCTAAAATACGCACAGGCCTTTAACATTCTTCAAACCTGCCGTTGAAATGAAGCTGCAGCAATTTATGGGAGTAAATCTTGTAGTGTCCTTGTACATTTAAGGACCTGGCGAGTACAGCTTCAGACTTGTGAACGAGACTACTGCCGACTCCTGAAGGTTTGATCAGTTTCAATTCGAACACCATATTGAGCATCTGAATAAACATAATATGAACATTAATTACCTCTCAATCCGGCATTGTTGACGAGAACATCGATATACCCTAACGCTGCCCACGCTTTTTCCACTGCAGCATCAATAACGGGCTCACTGGCACTCACATCCAACTCTATCGCTACCGCTTTCCCTGACCTTGGCCCTTTCCCTTCGCTTTGGTTCGCAAGTGCGTTGATCTCATCACAAAGCGAATCCAGCAAGTTCTTTCGCCGGGCGGCTAGAATCACATTGGCACCGTTTTTAGACAGCGACAATGCAAACTCCCGGCCCAAACCCGACGACGCCCCTGTTATAAGTGCCACTTTCCCTTCAAGCACTGCCATGTCTCTCTCCCTAACCTTTCCTTCACAACCTACAAATCCCTGGGAATACACTACAAATTACCTTCGTCCCAAATTCCAATTGCACAGTGTCTTCTATTTCTGAAAAACCCTATGGAAAAGAGTTCCTAAACCAATGGCCAACACAAAGATTCGATATGCCGATCACGGCGATGATAATCCAGACAGTGTTTTCAACAAGTACTGAAGATTGCGGTGAGCGCCTCGCAAATAGAGCTCGTAACAACTTCGTAAGCACACAAAATATAGAAGCGATAAAAATGCACCGCTATGAAGAAATCATAATCCCTCTCTGCTAAGACAGGACTTCGCTCTTTAACTACCGGTCAATGCGAATCGCGGAGCACAATTCACCCAATAAACAGCTGTATCTAGTCCAGCATCAGGGCAAATTGACCTTTAAGTCTGCACATCGAACATTTCTGCCAAATTTTCCAGTTTTTAGGCTGGTCAGGAGTCGTGATCGCCCGAAGCTCACAGAAACCTTTTGACGTCAGGAGAGCCGAAGAAAAGGGCCCTTGACGGTGGCGACGACGACGACTAGCACATCACACTCAGAGCCTCGCCATGTATCTAATTCAAGAAACTCAATATTACAACTATGATTTCTATTAGAATCTAGCTTTCACAGAAATTTCCAACCAATTTGGTTTATATGGGACCAAGATATCAAAAGTGTCGACGTAGAGAATTTGCTTGATTGAATTTCTGGATTTATGGTGATATGACTTCCTCTTCTAAGTAAAAAATCCATGAGGTTTTCTTCGCGTTTTTTCTTTTACCTATTTCCTTTCAGTCTTTTTCCCTCTCGCTCGCTCTCTCTCCCACTCTCAATCGGCTTGTTTCCACATTCCTGATAAATACAAATAGCAAGCAACTACGGAATCGCATCGGGCATCATGCATGCGGCGTGACGCATCGGGGCTGGCCACGTGACTGTGCGAGCATCAGCATGCCAGCGTGCGCACTTGTCACGAATTTAGCAGGCCTCAGCAAAGAAAGCAATTCAACAACAATGCTTGCTGAGACGGTACACAATGCTCCACCAGAAGCAGATTCCGCTTCCTCTACTACAAACAAGTACGACTGCAGAGCTGGAAGGCAAGAGCAACCTGCACGACGCAAAGGAAACAAGACGTTGTCACTTCATGCTCACGGCCGTTGTCATAGCCGTGTCATTCCGAATCCACAGGCTGCGGTTTTTTCAATTCGATCTGAAAGAGCTACTAATGCATCTGTGGCTCCGCAAAAAGCAAAGGCGAGGAAAGCAAGGCAAATGTGACAGAAGCTCTCATCCGTCATTGATGAATCGTCTCCGTTGCAACACTGTGAGGAAACTTGCCCCGATCTAGGGCTTGCATGGGTTCAAGCCCTTAATGCCAAAGCCAAGCCCCACCAAGCAATAGAATGAAATACACACACACACACATTTATACATAAATAAGATGATCAATGCATTAATAAAATATGAATGTGAATGTTCATTAAATAGTTCGCAAAGTCTACAGTAGTTGCTTTCATTTGCCAATGTAAAATAATAATCCTTCATTAAATCATAGTTTGTTGCAATTTAATCACCAACACTGATCAATCTTCAAATAGTACTCAAACAAATGCATGAACATTTTCTTGTTGAGAAATAACATGATTCTCGTGTTGACACATTCATTGGTGTGAAGATACCTAAGAACCAGAATTTTTTGTTGAAAATACGGGGCGGATTAGCAATAGCAGAAAATGCTTGTTTAATCTTCAAAATTGAACATGTGTGAAGACAGACACATAAGGGTGCTCCCTGGCTTCAGTCCCAGCAATTCAACATTCCTGACTTGGTAACATTGGTCATGAACAGAATCGTGAGTGTCATCAGTTAACCCTCTAATGACTTCATGGAGAGTCCTTGCAACCGAAAATCAAATCCGATAGTATAAAATCTCCACGTATGTTGCCCAATTATATTCGAAACGAAACGGAATGAAATGAAATGGTTGAAGGAAATAAACAAGTACTCTTAGGTCGATGGACGGAGGAGCTCAAAAAAGTTGTAAACACGCTTGTCGGAGGCTTTGCGACCTGCAATCGCCCCTAAGTCACGTCCAGAAAATCCACCAACAAAGAAGCTCTTCAAGGAATTTGCATATGCAGAGTATTACACAAAAATGATTGAAAAAACATGGTCACACAGCTTTGTTAGGATTAGAATGCTTGCAAGCTGCTGGACCCATTAATTTGAGGAATGGGGAGCAGAATGAGCAAAATTGTCCTTACTACGTTACTTTGCCCCTCCAAAAAATTAAGATAGCAATTGTACTTGTTAAGTATGATCCTCCTTGCCTAGGTTTGAGGATCCCAAGGATGTCAAGTACCTACTCATAATATGCAATTCTAATTATGAGGTAGTCCATTTCTATATCTTATACTATGTTTGCATGCTCTCAGGTTCAGGAGCTGGTGCTGCGGCATCAGTCTCCATTGGCTCGGGCGCTGGGTTATCTCCAGCAGCTGGGGCTTGTTGTTCTGGAGCAGGCTTGGCCTCCGCAGGAGTACTCTTAGGTGGTACTGGCCTTGCCTTTGTCATGATTGGCTTGCAGAATCTATCAAGGACTTCAGTCTTCTTCTTCACTTCAGCTGCAAGTAGGACCGGATTGGCACACTTAGGAAGTGCATCTTGTTGCTGCTTCTTGTCCTTGAACCATTCCTCTGCCTTGTTGCACTCGGCTATCACCTTCTCTTTGTCGGCAGCGTCGATGTGATCAAACTTCGGGTCCGGGCTTTGGGCAGCTTCGCGGAAACTTGTGATGCAGTAGGTCAGCGCCATAACAGCAGGACCCCTGAGCTCCTCTTCTCTTTCCCTAACCTCCAGTGGGTCTCCAAGCTTCTTGAGTTCGGCAAGCTTGGCAATATAAACACTTTTAATTTCATCTTCACCGTCTTCGTACAGCCAGTCTTCGGTTTCTTGCAGTCTGGCAGTCATTTCCTCACGTTCACTTTCGGTCACGTAGTTTTGCAGTTTCTCATACAATTTGTTCCTCATACTGTAGACATATGCCTCGACAGCATTCTTGCTCTCCTTTGTCTCCTCCATAACGCGATCTTGTAGCGCCATTTCGAATTCCTTCTCGACGGCTTTAGTCAATTCAGGTTGGGGAAGTCCACCGTGGATCACTTCGTGCACAGGTACATCTGTCCTCTTCGTCTTCTTCTTCTTCACAACTTCAGGCTTGGGAGCATCAGTTTCCATTTTAGCAGGAACGTCCGCAGCACCGTTCTCTGCAACGGCTGCATCTTCAGGCTTGGCATCAGTAGGAGGGGAGGCCTTCTCTGACTCGTCCTTCTTCGTGGTAGGAACTTCCACTTCCTCTTCTTCAATCATCGTGGCAGCTTCCAGGGACACGACACCGTGCAGGTTGAGCCTGATCTTAACTTTAATCTTAGCCTTCTCTGTCATGGTAGGCGTAAAGGGGCCAATAGTAAACGTGGCAATTTTGGGATTTATGTTTGGTGGCAAATCGCTCGTCTCGGCATAAAACGCGTCTATAGCAAACGTGCTCGCTCGATAGAAAGTCAACAACTTAGTGCTAGGGACGGGATTGCCTTTCACGAACACAATGTTATTGGATGAGACCTCTTCCTCACCCTCCGTCTCGGGGGCTGCTCCCTTCCACGAAAGGCCAATAGCGAAGGGAAACGAATCCTGAACCTCAAAATCCCGAACACGGAATGTCGGGCTCAGCATCGCGCACTGAAGAGTGCACCCGCGAGCAATACACTCGCTCGCATTCATCGTGCGGCTGGGTTCCTTTCCAAACACAGAACTCAGAATCTTCAAAATTGCAGGAACACGGGAACCGGATCCGACTACTTCCACGGCGTAGATCTTGTCAAGGGTAAGCTTAGACGCAGCGAGAGCCTTCTCGCAAGGGCCCCTCACCTTTTCCAAAATAGGTTTTGCCAGCTCCTCAAACTCATCACGCTTAATCATGCCCCTCACATCCTTCTCGTCCATCAAGCACTCAATGTTCAAGGGCGCGATAGGATTGGCGCTCAAAATTTTCTTCGCCTTCTCGCAACCAGAACGAAGCCTGAGACTAGCACGAGCATTAGAAACCACATCGATCTTGAGATCTTCCTTGAACTTGGTAGCAAAGTGATTAAACAGCACCTCGTCGAAGTCCCGGCCCCCGAGGCTCCTTTCGAATTCATGACTTAAAATCTTCAGCTGACCCTTCTTGAACGCAGCAATGCAAACCTGCATACTAGCGTGGCCAACGTCCACGAAAACAACATTGATTGGCTCCGTGTCGGACAAATCCGTCTTGTAGATCCCGTAAGCCAATGCCGTCGCCGTGGTCTCATGCATCAACCTCAAAGGATGTAGACCGGCAACCTGGGCAGCGTCCAAGTACGCCCGCCTCTGGAGCTCAGTGAAATAGACCGGCACACCAATAACACAATCCACCACCGATGTCCCTAAATTCTTTTCTGCAATGGACTTCAAATTTGACAGCAACATACCAAGGACCTGCGTGGGCGTGAACTGACGGGGCTCACCCAAATACTGCACGTTGATTAAGGGGGAGCCATCGGGACCCTCAGTGACCGTGAAGGGAAACAAGTGCAAATCTTTCTGGAGCTCCGGATCCGAGAACGAGCGCCCTATCATACGCTTGATCTGGGAGATAGTGTTCCTCGGATTCATCAGCGCCGACGCCGCGCCCGCCACTCCGACAAACCGTTGCTTCTCTCCGAAGGACACCACCCCTGGGGTCTCCCGCTTCGACTCATCGTTCAGCACGACATCAATCCCGCGCTGCCTCGCTACTCCCACGATGCAGTTCTCATTTCCTACGTCCAACCCTACCACACTCATGGTACCCGTTCACCTTTCTCCCCTTCAGTCGCCTCCTTGTACCGACCGACACCTCTCAAAAACCCCCGCACTACCTCACACTCCACCAACTAAATCGGAACACAAAAAATAAACACACACACACAGAGAGAGAGAGAGAGAGAGAGAGAGAGAGAGAGAGAAGCGAAAGAAGCTAGTAATCGACCTGTCTAGTACACACACAGATGTAAATGAGAGAAGCGAAAGAAGCTAGGCAACAGGGAGGCAGCAGAGAGTGGGAAGAGCAGCAATAGATGAAGCCCTAAAAGAGCCGAAAGGAAACAAACACGATGGCGAAGGGGGAGGGGACGGTCCTGGATGGTTTAAGAATTGATGGAAGGTTCTCGAGCCCCCATTAATAAGAACAACAGCAACAACAATAGCAGCTTCGTCGAGAAGCCTGCCCTGCTCTGCCCCTCTGGACCAGCGTGCACTCAGCGCCCCTTCGCTTGTGCGTGAGTGTGTGTGTGAATGTTTGAGTGCGTGCGTCTGAGTTCGGGATAGTCTAGAGCCTTCTTCTCTCCCCCCCTTCTTTTCTCGGTCCTACCTGGCAGCGTGGCTGTCGGACTCAGTACCTTCCATGGATGGATGAAATCTTGTTTGTGTTTTCATCTACGGTTCGTCAACGGATGAGTTGCTTGCGTGGCATGGCTTGGTTTCAAAGCACTTGTCTTTTATGTTTTTATCTTTTTCCTTTATTCCTGGTCGTGGATTTCAATATTAAGAATAAATAATAATTAGAGAAGTGTGTGTTTTTTGATGTAGTGTATCAATGGTTGATGGAGGTTGATGATATTTTTGTTCTAATTATGTCTGATTTATCAGAAATAAAATGACAAGCATTGGTGTGTTAGTGGAGTTTGATTGGATATTGTTGGTTGATGTTTTTTTAATCATGTTAAATTTTGTGTAAAGCCAAGTAAAATTTAGAGGGAATGCATTAATAGAAATATTCTAAAATACATAAATTATTGTGCAATTTTTAAGTTTAACTGATAATAGATGATAAGTTTAGTATCTGAATTATTGTTACTTTTGAATGTGCTAGAAATATGAAAAATGTGAAATTATTATTAATAACATGATCATCAATTCATAATCAAAATTAATTGCTATCTTACTTTTTTATTAAGATTTTTAAAATAATTATTAGAAATATTAATAGAAAATAGTTATATTGTCACATTTTCACATGCTACACTAGAGTGACCATATTTACATGCTTTTTTGTAAAATACACGTTTTGATATTTTTTCTATTTTTTCTATTTTTTATTAGACATAGTATAAAATAAAATGATAAATCTTTAAGATAGAAATCAAAACTAAGATCAATTTTATCAAAGCTTTCATACCAAAATACTTCATAATACATCAAATTTCTGTTTGCAATGTTTTAAATTTTAATTTGAATGAAACCAATTTTTTTTTTGGTGTTTGTAGGCAATAGGTTTTAAAAAATATATATATACCAAAATATTTGTACAACTTATTTTATTAAGAAAACAAATTATAGAAAAATTGTAATCCAATTGTATGTTTGTATGTGATATTGATTGGTTTTATAAATATGAAAAATAACAGAATTATTGATAATATATAATTCCCATAAAAAAAATCTCAAGAAGGAATTATTAAAACATTACTTATTTTTTTAATGATAATAAAATCATTTTTTTCTTATTTTTAAAAATAATTACTATCATTTATTTAGTTGGTTAATATTTTTTAGAGGGTTATTAAAGAATTGAAGCAATAATCTGATAAAATGATTACTGAATTTTATTTTTAGCACATTAAAATTAAAAATATAAATATAATTTTTAGTATTGCATTCCATAAAATTTTTTAAATTTTCTATTATAAATAATATTTTTCTTTCAACAAGAATAATATTTTTTAGATTTAGAATAAATTGTGGCAAATTTTATTTAAAAAATTATGTCTTTTTTCTAATAGAATCAACAAAATTAGTCAAAAAAAATTTAAGTATTTTTAATGGAAGAACTTGTTGAGTGAAAAACTTAATATGTATAATTAGAAAGTAACAATTAATTTTCACTTATAATTATTGTTGGAAATGAAATAATATTTTTAAAGACTTACTTGCAAAAATATCATAATTCTAAGGACTTATTCATAAATTTACAAATATATATATATATATATATGTCTTAGTACTATTATTATTACCATCATCATTACTCTCTATAAATATTGATCATAAAATTGAAACCAAGTTTTTTTAAAAAATGTATTCATTGGTGATAACACTTTAGAGAATATGTATTTACAATGACACTTACAAACTAAGCAAAAAAACAAATCCACGGGCATTACACCTACCATTGGCTATTCCTTGTTACAAAAACTCAGGATTTAGAAAGCTGATTTGAGACAAAAATGCGATTGGAAAAGCCTAGTTCACATCACTACCTCAGAAGTCCAAAACCCCATTTATTTTATCACTCTAGTAGTATTCCAATTAGGGGGTTTTAAGCATGGCACTTTCCCCAAACCAAATAATTGGGATTTAGCACTTGATATTTTGAACATCATTCAAAATATCACTATTCAAACTTTATTACCCCCCTAATATTTTGTGAAATATCACTTATTAGGCAGTGTGGTATGGAGTCAAGAGGGAAGAGAGCTAAGACAAGCGACACAATTTTTGATATTTGACCTACCTCTCTTTTGATATTTCAATTTCCAAATCACCCACCAAGTATCCTGATTTGATGAAGTATCAAGTGATATTTCAAAATATCACGGGATACTTCAAACAAATATCACCCAAAATGCCAAAAAGGCCATGTTTGAAACCACCTAATGTGTGGTTTTTTACAGCAACCAAGATGTGGGTAAGATCCATGGTGAAGACCTGTTTGCTTGCAGAACATAGAGGATTCAACTCACATGAAACGGTCCATCTGTTGCGGCGGCAGACCTGGTGAGCAGCTGGGTCCATGCTGGTCCAAGTTCTGAGGACCAATGGCGCTCAGATCCATCACTGTGCACACACTGGCCCAAAATACGGACACTGGACCAATTGTTTCCTGCTTGAAAACATTCTGGGACTCCATTGTCTCATGAAGTTGAGGGCCGTGTCACGTGCACTCTCCACACCCCTCTCTCTCTCTCACGGTTCACTGTTACAACACTGCATGGGGCATGTCCAGAATATATGCTGCAGGCTGCAACGTCTCACAAAAAGTCAAGGTATGGTTTTGAGAGTCGTTTCCTATTAAGCATAAAATAAAATGTTTCGGGTTTCAAGCACTTGATAGTTATAATTAGGATAGACCCAGAGTTGGCAGCTGCAGAAATACACAGGAACCTCATGTCCTGTCATTCATATGGGACGAAAGCGTTACAGGAGAGAAGAATGTGATCACAGAGAATGTCGCGAGGATACGCATAGTATATCAGCAATGCACGTGAACTCTTATCTAGGCAACGGAATTTCAGTCTTTGGTTAAAGTACACAGTAAACACGGTTTCGCTTTACAAAAGACGTGCTCAGATGAGACGCAGGAGCATGTTCTCAAAACGTGCATGGACTGCTTCCCGAGCACGGTGTGATGGAAAATGGTAATTGCATCACCTCAAATACAAAGAGCTGAACCACAGGGAGAACAGCACAAACTCACTGACAACTATCGCAGGTGACCCAATTCCTAATATTGGAACAATGTCTACACGCAGCCAAGACTCCACCAATCCACCCAGCAACGCTCCTGACACAAGTCCTCCAATCGTGATGAGAGCCGCTTTTCCTGCCAACGCATTAAACACTCAAGAAACCATAAGAGTGCTGTTCCATATAACCTCAACGAATTGTCTCCTTCATATCAACAGAGAAATCCGTTGCCAAGAAGTCCCATTTCAATCGTTCTGTCCATAAGAGACCAATGAAGATTCTAACCAGGATAAACCCCATGAAAGCTGAAGATGCTAATCAAGAAGAAAACGAATAGAATATGTGCTGCTTAAGGACTCTCACCTAATTTGATGTTTTGCTTCCTCAAGAAGTAAACAGCAAGTCCAAATCCAATAGCCAAAATAAATCCTGGTGTATCCTGCCCAGAAACTGCTGGATATGACGTAACTCCAGTTGCAAACACCCAAACACTCAATGCTGCGAATAGTCCTGTTTGAAGGCCAAGTTCAGAATTTGAAGGAGTTTGAAAAGACACAGGAGCGTTCTTCAATGACTTTTGCAACCATTCCGGTCCTCCACCAGATGACGACTTAGGCTTGCGAACGTCAGCATATCGGACAGCACTATCAACAACTTTTCCAGCTCGCCGCTGTGAAAAACTTTGCATCAATAGCGTGTCGTAAGCTGCCTCGACCTGAAAGCAAATCACAACCACTAGTTTTTGTGAATTACTGCATTACCATGAGGTAGGCGCAGTCACATTGCAACACGAGTGAAACATACAACTTCATGAGACAGAATCAATAAGTACTAACCTGAACAATTTGTTCTTGGTCTCCGCCAGTCTTCTCTATCATCTTCTTAGCTCTCAATATCTCTTCAAAAGACGCACCCTCTCTAACCCCAAGCAGCTGAAGGGCATTCTCTAATGACATCTCTGAAGGGAGGGGTTCATCTGCTGTCGAATCATTAGTTTGGGCATTTGAACGCAGGTTTAATTTGCCAGATACTCTCTTGATATTCCTATGAGTTTTGGATAAGCGTGCGCCCAGAAAGGTACCGCGCGAATTAAGACTACGAAGTCGTGATGAAGAGGTGGGATTTGGAGCCGCAAAAAAGGGAGAGAGAGAGGAACTGGTGACGGGAACTAGAATCGAATGTGGTGAAGTCTTCTCACAGACAATCGCCTGCGAGGCACACAAATGCTGAAATTATAAGCCTCAGTAAACAGCACCGCACAAGCACATCTATCGAGAGGTTTGCTTCAATATTATACCTCTCGGAGTTAAAAGTTGACTGTCATAAAAGAGCAAAACAAAACCAACCAGCATGAGAGTTTGAAGCCACAAACTACAGTGTGAACACAAGAAAGAAACGTATAGAATCAAACACTTTTATTCATAAAAAGAAATACATTTGGAATCACGAACCTGTTGACTGGAGCAAGATATCGAAGCTTGCGATTGCAAGTATTGCACTGGCCCCATTTTACAGTGTTAAGCTCCTTAAATAAATCGGCACTGTCAACCACAAGCTTCATGTCACATTGGCAGCATTGACTGTTTAAGAAGGCAATCCCTAGGCATCCAGAAAGACTTGATGCAAAGCGTTTCCCTCGATCAGGACGGTGATTTTATCGAGAACGGTCGCAATCCATAGGTCGCAATCCATAGGTGCAAATTGCCCGACCAAGTCGTTATATGATGCTTGGAAAATTCGAAATGGATACAGTGCTTTAATTACTGCTTCAAGTGATAGCCAAGTCATCAGTAGATTCTTTCAATTCCCAGCTATACTTGCATTCAGCCAGCTAAATTTTTGAGACGAGCTTCGACACACCAAAAAACGCAACAAAGAAAAAAAGCCGCCTGAGTGTTTGGAGGACGCTGCGATTGCCTCTTCATATATTTAGCCTTTAAAATAGTGAGTCATAGCTGGCTCTAGCTACTAATGTAGCTAATGCTCAGACGCTAGTCTATAGTTTCACAAACCAACTAGGTATAATTCCTCGCTGTATCCCACCACCGCAGCAAAATTCAAAGCAACATCTCATCAGAAACCAAGGAAAATGCTCCACCGGCTCAAATTCCTGTAATCACTCGCACAAACTTGACCAATCCATCAAACCCGAGAACCAAGCTGGTTGAGCAATGTTCCACAGACTCAACAATGGCGAAAACCCAAGCCATAGATTGGTAGTAACACGACCCACCAAAGACCCACAGAAATCTACCAGAAATTGGGCGAGGAAGCACCCACAAGGTTCGAACGCCTCCGACGAGCGCGGCCACGTCTGCACTCAATCCCCCCGGTTGAACCCAGAAAACGAAATTAAGAATTCGACGGAGCAGAAGACTGAGGATCGGAATAAGGAGCGGTGCCCCGGCGTGAGCGGAGGGTTCGGGAAAGCCCGTAGTGGGAAGAGAGGGTGGGAATGGCGTGGCCAATCCAGACAGACGAAGAGGAATCTGTGCAAGCGAACGATGCGTCAACCAGGAACACAAATCGACAGCGGGGGGTACACCGCGCGACGCCAAATTCGGGTGAGAGGAGCGGGCGTTGCGAGGCGGACGCAGGCGGGGGATGCGAAAAGGGGGGGGGGGATTGTGTGACGTGAGTGTGATGCTGGCGTGGACGGGGTGCATGGGCGAGGGAGGGAGTGAGGTGTGCAATTGCGGATCCGACATGCTTTGGCTTTCCATCCTCGTCCTCCTGGTCTGCAACAACAACAACATACCTCCCTCTTTATTCCTACGTCTTCCTCCTCCGCCGCTTACTCTTGTGGGTAATTTCCTCTCCCTCTTGTGCATCACTCCAGGACAACAGGCGAAGGGGCGTTGCGCTTGTCGGAAACGGACCCAATGCCGGGCCTGGCGAGTCTAATCCAACTAAGTTAAAGTTTTCATTTTTATATATGAAAAATATAGAAAATTGTTAATGCTACATCTCCAATTGATATTGCTACACTACAATAGTAGCTAAATAAAAACCACAAGAAGTTTGGAATGTGGGATTTGACAATTCTTTTGTTGAAAGGTTGTTAATTACATATTAGAAAGAAAAGGGCATTGAGAACAAATTCAAAACATTGGTTTTGGCCACCATGGTCATCTCTATGAACAAAGAGTTCGGTGTAACATTTAAATGAAACCTACTTGAGTATTGCCATAGTATAGTATAAGTTAACTTCCATAAATATAAAAAATAAGATAGAATTTTTATTTTTTTAATATATATATATATATATATATATATTACAAATTTGTAAAGAATTTAGTAATGTGTGCAAGTTACAAGAAACTTTGGAATTTGGTAGGAATAATGATCTAAATATTGTTACTGTAGAAGATAATTTCACCAAGATATTAAAAACCTTCTCTTGTATTTTTGTTTGAGATTGACTATCCAATAATATAAAGAAATAAGAAAACTTAAAAGTTCAACTAAGTAGATCAAAGAATCTTTTAGTAGATTTTTGTTGCATAAGAATTTATGCAACTTTAAGAAGATATCCTTAGACATTCTTGCTTGTTCTTCGAAGCCAGATGCAATTAGCAAAGATGGAATTTCTTATATCAAAGTCCTACTTTGTAAAACAAAATATCAAATTAAAACATGTTTGCACAAAGCAAGAACTTCATTTTACACAAAAAGAACAAGGTTGTCACTATTCTATTGAAGCCCATGGTTGAAAGAGGTGTTGAGGAAGTAAGGGAGGAAGAACAAGTTAAAAAATGGAAAAGTGTCATGGACATACATATTTACATTAAAAATTATTTAGATTTTAAGATTCAAATAGAAATTAATAGAAAAAAGTAAATTTGATATTTTATTATAGAGAAGCTTTGTAGACTCAAATTTGACATTCTAAGTATCAATAGATGATTAGTGGATTAAAGAATGGTCAACAAATTGGCTATGTATTGCATATGTTGGCTGCTTATGATAAAAATTGGTTATGTGGCATACATATAGGAAACTTGTATTATAAGTTAGATACGTATCTTATAAGTTAGATATGTGTTGGAGGTCTTATAGAATGTTGTTACATAGCTTCTAGTTAGATAGTGTATAGAGGCAAGAATGAGGCCTTTCTTACTCTTATCAATTCCTTTTTTGATTTCAAGATTTTATAGTTTTTTAATCTTTGAAAATAGCCTTTTAATTTCTCCTTGAATGTATATATATATATATATATATATATATATTTATAAACTCACTTTGATACACATCTCACTTGAATATTTACATTCTTTAAGTTCTTGTCTTTGTCAAAGAAAAAACACTAAGAAATAGAAGAAAAAATAACTTAGAAAATAGTATAGAAATTGATTAGAGAAAAAGAAAAAGACATAATAAGCACGAGAGATGAAGAGAGAATAAGCAAGAGAGAAGAAGAAGTAATCTAATAACATATAACAAATGCATGGATAAAAAATATTGTGTGTGTGAGAAACCAAGCACTAATTTGGTTTGATGTAATTAGCACTCAAAGAATCTTTGTTGGATAAGTTAAAAAAAACATAATAACTCCATTCAATATTTTTTATTTCAATAATATTTAGTAGATTTTTAAATGCAACCTCATACTACATACTATATTACAACATGAACTATATCCTTGATAATTAATACAATTCATTCAAAAATAGCATTATTAACATATAATAATTTATATTTTGCTATAATTATGCTATTTTCAAGAAATGATTAATAAATAATAGCAAAGTTTAATTCAAATACATAATTGTATTTATTAGACTAATAAGTTTTTAATGTCTTTATTGCATGTTGTTGAAATGACATCATTGACTTCTATATTTTTTTATTTTTTTTTTAGAAAAAAAATTAAAATAGATTATATTTAAGTTCTTAAAAAAGTACAATTTTTTTTTTATTGATAGAATCATGCCAAAGATCTTTATAATTGATTCCAAACTTGCATTCATGTCTTTATTACAAACTATTTTTTCTTCATCTACAAATCTATTTTATATGTGGCACATCAATAAGAATATTTTGATACATTATAAATACAACTTCTTACATGAAAAATGAATAATCTTCTTGTAGGAATGGAATTAAGTCATAAAAAGTTGAGCAATGGAAGCCTTTGACAATAGATTGAAAAGGTTTAAAACAAAGCATGAGGTTGGTCACTTGAATGTTGTCACTTATATTTTCTTAACTTAAATACTTTTAAATGAATATTTTGTGGCATTTTGATCACTTCAACATGTCTACTTTGATAATATCAACACTTCTTGCATAAAAAACAATCAATTGGCATTAAAACAATGACTTCAAGTATCAACACTTGATTTTTATAATATTCATAATTAGATCACTGTGCATATTAATTACTATGAGAAGGAATTGAATAGAAAGAATAGGGATGAAAAGATGTAACTTTGAAGGATATTGATGAGTAGTTTTATGATCTAGTAGTGACATATTATAATATTATAATATAATGTATTGTATTTTGTATTATTAAAGATCTATGCTTTGTAGTCTAAGAGAACATAAAAAAAAAGATGATTATTCTAGATATTTTACCATCTCATTTGGAATGCCTTGCAATCATATAATGCAAATATATCTTATAAAAAATAATATATTATACATTGAAAAATTCTATTCTCACTCACACCTTAAAACTCTACTTCATTTTTTTTTTTTTTTTTTTTTTTTTTGTTTTTATATATATATATATATATATATATATATATAAATTCTGACAATAATTACTTCAATTTTCACATTGATTGCTAATACCTATTTTAGTTTGGATCCAAATCAAAAAATTACAACATGAAATTTTTTAATTCAATTGGCATTGTAATGCTTTTGTACTCCAAAAAATTTGATCTTTTAAATAGCAAAAAGAATGTTGCCATGGAGCTTTGAATTAGATACCAATGTCTTCTATGTAATGAAATCTTTTATTTTTAGAGATTATAGAAGGTTGTAAGATTAGCCTAAAAAATAGAGGAGATATTATCAAATTGAGTATAATATTTATACTTATTTTAGTAATTTAAAGATGAAAAGCTTATAAATAGAAGTAGCTTAAAATAATAGTGAAGCTACAATTGACATCCAAGTAGAGAATATTAGCATGTTGATTTTTTAAAATAAAGAAAAAAAATACATATATACAAAAAAAGATATATTATTAATTAATTATCTACAAAGAGATTATATAGCTTTTTTATGTTATAATATGGCCATTAGGTAAATTATTAACTTCCAAGATAATTTTTTTATGTGTGCGCTCTATAATTACCTTGTTCCACAAGCTATCCACACGTATGACTTGTGGCTAACTTGTTGATCAAGTTTTTAACTTTAAAGTCAACTATAAACATATGTAAAGTCAAAACAATGTCTATAAAGTTTTTAGGAAGTTTCTTTAGAAGATATTATGAAATTAATCTATTTTTATTTATTTCTACCTAATCATATAGGTAATTATTAGAATAAATATGTATATCTGTAATAGCATGTCTATGGTATTATTCTCCTATGTAGAAACAAGTTCCATGAGACATAGTCATTATATACTAAAAATGTCTAAAATACAGCAACTTATATTTGATATATACTCTAATCTTTGTTTTTTTTTTAAGATGGTTGAAAGATCCTCTCAGCCATCAATAATTTTCCATATTAGGGTGGAAAGACTACTTTGTTATTAAATCATTGTTGAGGCCTTTGTAACTCATTAGTGCCAAAATATACACAAAAGCTATAAATAAGGGTAGAAGGTAGAATATTATATTTTCTTGATCTTATTTTTTTTATAGCAAAGATTTGCTATTCTTCATCTAGATTTTGATGGATGTTGTTGATGAAAAGCCTCCACCTTCTTTGATATATTTGCAAGATTCTTTATTAGCTCTTATGTATGTTCATTAATATCCTACTTGCACTAATGAATAAGATATTCCAATCTATTTCACTGCCACTTTGAGTCTAAGACTTCTTCCACCTCAAATTCTTCATTATTATCTACTTCTACAAAAAGAAGTGGTACATATTTTCTTCTTAATATATTTATTGTCTTGTATGATTTAAGAAGTGATACATGGAATATGAAATAGATCTTCATTAACTTTGATAGATGTAACCAATAAGCAATTGGATTGATTTGTTCACAAATAGAAAAAGGTCTAATTTTACAATAGTCCAACTTATTACAAATGCAAGTAGTCTTGATATTATGATGAAGTAATCATATCCTATCACCTATGTTGAATTGTGGTTGTTTCTTGCAATAGGTATCTACGTTTTTGTTTTGTTATTCTTCAGTTTCTTTTAATTGCATCTTTTTGTTGCATGTAGCTTTGACAAATAATTTGTCAAATCTTTTATTGCACAATTATTAACTTATAAAAAATCAAAAGTTATAGATGATAATCATAATTAACAAAAAAAAGGTATTTGGTGAATAAAAGAATTTATCATGTTATAATAGGCAAATTCTATCAATGACAAAAGAACCGTCCAATCATCTTGTTAGTAGTTCATAGTGTCATATTTCATGAAATATTGCTTGAGAGTATACCAAGCACTTGGTTGTGGAAGATT